GTTGAAGCGCCCCGTTTGGAGTCCCGCTCGATGCCGTACTGCCGTTACATAGAAGCATCATCTGTGCCACTCATGCAGAGGTCGATAAATGCTCCGAGTTGATGAAAGCGCGTCAGAACATAAAGCCACACGAGAGAAACCAAATAATGACTGGCTGCCATTCTTGAACGTCCAGATCAACATCTCTAGCGGCAATCACAAAGCAAAGTGGTGTCGAAAACCCAGGAACAAAACATCCTTATTCATTTCTTGCTCATCCTCGTCAAACCCAAAAAGCTGTTAAGAATACGTTCCGCACAACTTCTAAAGTGAGTAGCGGGGCCGAGGAAAGGAGATTCATTGACCTTTGCGTGTGTGGTAGCAACTTCCAATGTATACCAAGAAAGCTCACTACATTTCAAGGGAAATAGGTTTGCTCGTACAGAAGGAGCTTCGATCGCAGCAAGAAAAATCGCCTTCTCCCTTCTCTTCATCTCTGATGAAGAAGCGTCGCCATTCGGCGGTGTCTGCGGAGAACTGGCCTTGATAACTCGTTATCTGTTCCGGTGGGAGGAGCGGAGATGCATGCGTACAGAAGTCATCTAACTTATCGCATACACGAGCTTCGGCGACCAGTATATAGGCGAAACCGCACCTCCTCTATCTGTGCGCATTAAGGAACATCTGGAAGGTAGAGATGAGTCACGCCCATCCACTCCTTTAGGCATTCATAGAGTGCAAAAACATGCGGGAGAAAATTTTGAAGTGAGCATCGAAATCTTAACGCAGAAGTCAAAAACATCAGCTCGCAAGGCCTGGGGGCATTTTGGATTCACGAAAAAATCCCCAAAATGAATCGCAAAGAGGAGTGTCTCTTAATCATGCGGGAACTCCTTCCTTATTTGGGTTACCTCTTCTGACCTAGCGAAGGCACCATCAGCGGTCTACTTAGTCAGTGAGCGGTCGTTTTTTTTCACCAGAGAAGGATCGACATAATCAAGGGTTGAGTATTTAATCAGCAGTATCAGTGATCCAACAATGTCTTAGAATTTCGTCTGTGATGTTGAAATGACGTTTGATCGTGTAAATTGCATTTCGTTTCACCCACCAGGCTCTGAAGAAGGCGCCGAAACGTCAGCGAATAAATTTTTTAACAACCTTGTGCGTGGCTAAGAAAATGTACCAATGACATATTCGAGATTTAGTGAACGTCGAACATTCCACTTTAGCAACTGTTTATAAATCTGGCTTGTTTTAGAGATTATAAAAGAACAAAATAAATGCCATTAGAGAAAGGATGAGTTTTGGCTGCTCAAATTGTAATTTAACTCTGTTATTTTGCATAGGAGATGCATACATATATAGTCGATTTCACGGATGTTAGGTCGCCAGATCTAGCGGCGGCGCGGCTGAGTGGTACCGACGCAGGGTTGGAAGCGATTTCTCACCTGAGTACTGAGCCATCAGCAGCAATCAGCCGTGTCGGTTGGGTCACGATGGACTAGCAGTGCCCTGGTCTTTGATTTCAACTATACGTTAAATATACTTGAAAACGCGCCATCCTCTGTTTTCTGATATTACGATCTTGTATTTCACACATTTTCCATTCACTAGGTTCTATATGCCTGTTGCGAGTTGACGCGATCGGTAGCTTATTGCGAATGAATACATGAGCCAACTTGCGATACCTGTTCTTCCGAAGGACAGACCTCATTCATGTTGTCTTGATAAGTCGCCCATAATCCATTTTTTAAATATTTATTACATCCTCTAAACTTTTCAAACGAAGTCATGATTATTCTATTGATTAATGGCAAGCAAAGCTTATACCCAAGTTTACAGATTAGCCACGCCTTGATAACTTTATCGCGCGCGGAACTATGGGCGCGGCGCTTCAATGCTCAGAGCGTACTTCTCCAATTCACATCTTTGAGGCCGCATCGCGTATAGATGCAGGCGGGCATCTATACGCGACGCGACCGTGGCTTGGTCCTGTCGCACGTTGGTGCTGCGTCCATAGAGCTTTTAAGATGCGACTTATCTACGAGAAAATAGGTTACCCACTGGACTCTTCTCATTGACTTCACGGAATACAGTAATAACATCTTCAAGGCACATAATACGGTCCAATCGCATAGTACTTGTGTCACCTACAAATAGATTGAGCCCTACAATCTCATCACAATGGTGATAGGGACATGAAGCGGGTAATAAGATTTGCTTACGTCTACAGTAGACGTCTCTGTTCTGTTTCATCCAATGCATAGCAATTCCTAAGCGGCTCATTTGGTGCTCGGGAACCTCAAAACTTTGAAATCAGTTCAAACAATCATCAACTCGATGGAAAAAAGGGTAAAATCAGAAAATCAATAAGAGTGCTATCCTCTAGAGGTGATTTTTTCAACGTAATAAGTGTTGGATACCTAACTTTGCTCGATTGTATAGATCTGTATGATATATTTTTCCTCCTGACTGTGTCATTGTCATCCTACCTCTAATTAGGGTATTACTTGACCAAGAAAACGATTAACTACACTACAACTTTGTTTTGAGGTCTTTTACATGTGTGAATGGAAACCATTGCCGGTACTGAAATTGCTTACAAAATCGTCCCAAAAAATAATTTTGGTTGCGTTTGCACGTTTCTCACAAGGTAGTTGAAGTCTTGTGAGCAAGTATGGCGTTATTTGAATGAGCACTTTATGTTAAATAGTATGATGTAGCCTTATCTCAATGAGTATTTCAGAAATTTTATAAACGTTAGAAGATGCGCGACCAAAAATTCGGGCTTCGCTTTTGCATGTTCTACGATTTCAAACAAGGAGGAAGTGCAGCAGAATCACATCGAACTTTGTGCAGTGCTTTTGGAGAGGAGAAAGTGAACGGCAGGTTCAGAATTGGTTTAAACGTTTTCGAAATGGAGATGAGACCTTAGGCCGTCTCGCGCGATGACCGTGAATTAAGGGAGATAGTTGAGATAGATCCAACTCAAACGACACGAGAGTTGGCTAAGAAGTTTAACTGCACATATGCCGCCATCGAAAATCACCTGCGAGCTTTTGGGAAGACGACTAAATGCGGAAAATGGGTACGCACATGCTGGAACCGAAATTGTTTTTTGGCCAACTTTCTTACGGTAGTTTTAGAGACGCGGTATTGGTCTATGGAAACAAATGCACGCATAATCGATGTAATTGAGCGCGTAAAAGCATAAGCACTCGCTTAGTCCTAGAATGAAATATGCGATGTTTAGATTTTATTGGAAAGCCGAGCACAACTTAGCTGGCAATTGCGGCTAATATGCTTTGGTTGTATGAGAGCAACAATTTCCGAAACTCATTATACACTATACTATACTCATTTTAAGTAATCAGGAGGAGGCCCTTTGCTTTTTGGCAAGAAACGTAGGAGAAGTAGTGGAAGCGTCGGAAAGTTGCGTGTATTTCTCAAGTTTGAGTAGCCGCGGCGTTAGAACATGAGTCTGCGCTATTTTGGTTACCTGCGGCTGAATACTCAGATAACAACTGGCAGTAACGCAATGAATGGCCCAAAAGTTTTTTGTTCCTTTAACTGTGAAGGAAATTATCAATGTGAATATTTCAATGCTTTTGCCCTTCTATGATTATTTACTGCTTCCATCCGAGCTTCCATTTTCGTTTCAACGTACTTCCTCCTCAAACTATATATGTTTACATAGTTATTAAAGCAGTACGAAACTACATCAATTATTAACTATAGTTATTAAAATGGTCTGATGGAAAATGATACCGACGTTATCTCATTCTCGAAAAAATAAGCTACTCTATGCCTAAAAAGTCTGTGAACCAACGCCAGCAGACTACATACTAGAATAAAGTAGCTGGTAAAGCCCTGTCCCGAGATATACGTATGCAGACTTTCGGCCTCATCATAATGAAACTTTGTACTCGGAAAATACACCTACATCACATAAAGGCTCGAAGAGCCTGAAACTCCCGCTTCACG